AGCTTATATGCATCTCAAAATTCCGCTCCAACAGGGGCCTACGCTAAAGTTACCAGATTTCGAGTGACTATTCATTGTAACAATGAATGCTCCTGGAGAGTGCATTGGAGGGGTTTTATCGCAGAAGTATGGCGATGAAGATCATCCAGTTGCGTTCTACTCCAAGAAGTTGGATCGACATGAAAGAGGCTGGCCGACGCATGAGAAAGAGCTCCTAGCTATTAAAGTGGCTACGGAGAAGTGGTGCCACTACCTACATGGCCGTCCGTTTGACGTATATACGGACAATTCGACATGCTCCTGGATGTTGTATCATCCACGAGTGTCTTCAAAGATGGCTAGGTTCCTCACGGATTTCTCGCAGTTACATTTACATTGCACCATGTTAGGGGCAAAGCGAATGTAGTTGCAGATGCACTATCACGTCCTCCACCGGATGGACAGGATACGGAAGAGGATATAGAACCATCGTTACCAGATGTGACCTATGAAGTCCATGACTGTGATGAAGAATGTGCCAAGATGGCATCACAGACTCATGATCAAATGGTTTAAGCATCAATGATCCGTCATCTACCAGCAGATGATTTACACCTGTTACTCGACGATGTCGATTTGCAGGGGGAGAGTCGTCCTATTGGTGTACCGCAGCAGCAAATCAACACCGTCGATTACCATTTCGTCTAATCGCACTTGGGACCGGAGACGAAGAAAGCGTTTCAACAAGGCTACGGGTCCGACCCTGTATTCAAGCAACAGTGGTCGAAGGGGACAGACAAGGAAAGTTCGTAAAGCATAATGATCTTCTGTTGTTCAAACAGAAGGAAGGAGAGTCTGTCTTCAGATTGTGTGTGCCCAAGTCCAAGAAGCTTCACACGGATGTCATCACAGAGTTCCACGATGGCAATACATCCGCGCATCCGGGAAGTAGACGGACGTATCTGAAAGCAGCACAATGGTACAATTGGCCAACGATGGATCAAGATATCATAGAGTATGTGCGTACTTGTGAAACGTGCGCAAGATGGAAGTCCAGCAGTCAGAAAAAAGGGTCTGCTGATACCAATTCCAGCTTCATTGGAATGTTGGGAAGTGGTGTCTATGGACTTCATCACCGGTTTACCAGTGCCAGAGCGGTACGATGCGATTTTCATTGCCGTAGACAAGTTGTCTGAGCGTCCGAAGTATGCACCGACCTATACGACTGCTGATGCGAAAGACACAGCTGAAGTATTCTTTAATGCTGTTGTCAGGCACCATGGCTTACGGCAAGTGATTATTAGTGATCGAGATCCAAAGTTTATATCAGACTTCTGGAAGTCACTGATGACGCCGATGGATGTCAAACTGAGTATGACTACGGCTCATCGAACTCAAGCTGATGACCAGACAGAGCGTCAAAATCTAGTGCTCGAAGTTGCACTGAGATGTATGGTGCCATATCATGAAGATGATTGGGTGAAGCATCTCGGAACAATAGAGTATGCGCACTCAACATTGGCAAACGCGTCGACTCAATTGGCTCCATTTGAAGTCGACACAGGCCGCAAGGTTCTAACGTTGTGGCAGAAGAGATGAAAGATCTATTGCGTAAAGAAGACGACGTCACCTCGCCGAGTAAGCAAAGAACTTTGCTAAGGAACGACAGGAGATCGTAGAACGTGCCCAGAAGAATTTGAAAGAAGCGCAAGATA